GATAGTTTAAAATCTTCTAACAATAATATTTATTATTTTGAATTATAAATACTTTTAATTTCAATTTAATTAAGCACCAATATTTTTTGGTTAACCTGTCCGTAGCTAAGACAAATAGGTTCGACGGTTTTCCTACAAATGAACATGCAACATATAGTTGCCCTTGAGAAAAATATGGATTTTCCAAATCTAAATTAGAGTTTTGAACAACGAAGCACTAATAATTAAAAAGCAGGAATAATTTCACTGTATATATTCACCATAATATGAATTTAATTTATACTTCAGTCTAAGTAACACGTGGCCGGCTATGCTAACACCAAAAATTGAAAAAGTAAAATTCACTGTATTTCGTTTACTACAAAATAAATTTAACCTATACTTTAGCCTCAGCAACATGTGGTGGTTATGCTATTAAAATTGTAGGTTATATGAAACGTTTGGAAGTTTGACATAGCGCCATCTATTGAATATTGCGATCATAAATTGAGATGTAAGCTATCCTATCTTTCAAGTTGGATCAAACTGCACACGGTGTACAAATTTGATTAAAATCGGTGAAGTAGTTTAGGTGTCCATCGCGGACAACATTCTTTAATCGTAATTTGTGTAACAAAAGCAGGAAATGAATGGTAACTTTTCTTGCGTAAGTTTTTTCTTATTAAGTATGTATGTTCCATTTAACAATAAAAGACATGCATAAGTGTCCATGAAATTTACTGATATCGTAACTTTACAAGAAGGGGAGGGCAAAACATTTCCATTGTTCCTCCTACTTTTACAAATTTAAAACCAAAAATTTATATTCAGGGAATTTATAATTGGTGAACACGTTAAACGTTACCATTGAATTTTCACTTATTCCTATAAAATATTGTCTTTTAAAAAAATCAGTGAAATTTTATGGAATTAATGGCAACTGTTTAGATAACAGATACCTATTTAATTATAGGTTTGAAGTGATGATGAATTACTACCGATTTTACGAATTTAATACATGAAGATTATACATATAAATTAAAACGACTTTACGTCAATATAAGTTTATTTATGCATACACTTCCATAGTTGTCGGTTCCCTACCTTTACGTAAATTCTTTTAGCATTATTAGGGGAAAGTGCGATGGTGAAATATAAAAAGTTTCAATAAATGTCAACTTTTGCTGGTGAGTTTATTACAGTCTATTTATAATATGTTAACTAACGATAAGAGANAAAATTAAATTTTATAAAAAATAAATGTAGGAATAGAACAACGGATGAGTTGAGCTCTGTGTGCGTACTGTTAAAATTAACTAAATATGAACCAAATATTAAATCTTTATCATCGTGTGGACAGCAACAAAAATCACATTAAAAACAATTGTTTTTAACGTGAATTTTGTTTCTAGTATATTGCTTTTTGTAAAACATTGATTAATAAAAAATTGTTTAATGAAGAATTGCTTTTATTTGTTTATTTAATTATACTTACGTACAGTTTCACCACGCTAACATTTCGAATGAAACTTTATTGTGGCACATTACCTATTTAAAAAAGATTTTTTATGACTGTTTGGCACGGACATCAAAAAAGGTTCGCCATCCCTGCTATAGGCTATGTATATATCATCACGCCAAGACCAATAGGAGTAGAGCACCAATGAAGAATGTTTCAAAATCGTTTTTTTTCCTTTTGAGAGCTTCTGCTGCGTGCGCTGCGTAGACGGTTAAAGTTTCCTAATTTAAAAGTCCGCGACAGCATATGTCTATCTTTTAAGGTTGACTCACTATAACCTTTTTTATCCTAACCAAATTTTTTGAAGTGAAACTTCTTTACGCACGGTAAGGTAAGTTCCTTTCATGTCCTCAAGGACTCTCCTGGATACTCTCTTCATGAGGTCTATCTTATTTCGGTAAAACCGAACGATTGATCAAAGCCCGTGTCACAAAACAGGATGTACAATAAGTACCAGAGTTCGACATCCCGGCACACCAGCGTTAGTAGAATACCATGTACAGACCGATCACGGGATTCAGTTTTTAGGAACGAAGGTCCTTTCCCTATCAACCCATACACCTGAAAAATTCGAGAACCCCCGAAATCCTTAAAGAGTTTTTCAGGAACGACGGGGAGTTCTTTCTCGCACCATCAACCTACACATCTGGAAAATCCAAGAATCCCTTGAGATCTTAAGAGAATCCAGTAATTTCAAAGATGGTCACGCGCTTCGTTTTTCAGGAACGAAGGTCCTTCCCATACCATCAACTTAACACCTGAAAAATCTGAGAAATCCTCGAGATCTTAAAAGAATCCAATAATTTCAACCATGCCCACGAGCTTCATCCTTCAAGAACGAAGGTCCTTTTCCGCACTATCACTTTAACATCTGAAAATTCCGAGAAGTCGTAGAGATCCCAAAAGAATTCGATAATCCACAGGCATCATTTTTCAGAAAGCAAGGCCCCTTCTCGCACCATCAATCTATACTATAAAAATCCGAGAAGCTTTCGAGACCCTAAGAGAATCAATAATTTTAATCATTGTAACGGACTTCATTTTTCAATAACGAAAGTTCTTTCTCACAACATTAACCTACACACCTGATAAATCCGAGAAATCCTCAATAATATCAATTATTACTTCATGGCAACGATTACTTCCTCCACAATAAGTGAAAACTACTGTTCAACCCATGAAAACATTTCACATTCTACTGAGTGACCCATATCAAAACCACTATTTTTCATAAAGAATCGGAAAAAGTTACTCGGAAATAATTAGATCACCTTAATACATGTATCTTTGTATGACTGCATTGCTTGAAGCATTATTTGTAAAACAGAATGATATGTAATCTACTGTTAATAGTTTATATCCTCCTGGACTTCTCAGTTTGCACTAAAATTTCGTACTTAATACGATTCTAACACTTACTATGTGAAGGGATATGGGAAGGTTCGTCTATTTGCTTTATTCCATGCGGCACAACTCTCTCTTTGTAAGCATCTTAGTGATTCTACGATCTGAAAAAAAGATAATGTGTTTGAATGGGTAACTTAGTGAATTTATGGAGATAAAAATTTTTTATTAAAAAATAATTAAATAACAAAGCTAAAAGTAATTACTTTAGTTTTTAAGTATTTGATAATTAGATTTCGAATTTGATGACGAAAAAGTTTTCCCTAATATGCTTGGTTTAATAATATTTTTGCATTAACTTACAGATCTAATGAAGCATTTAATGTTACTTTATAATTGGACTAAAATCGCGATTTCGATCTCATTATTTTCGACAAACAACGTAGCGAACGCCGTCTGTAGAAACTGCTACATTTTTGAATTCCACAAGATGCTCCAATGTCTACATAAAATTTTTACTACTCCTTTCGTCATACACGGAATACAAATTATATACAAAACTACAATTAAGTTAAAAACTGAGTACCTAAAAATCAAAATAAAGATTGAAACTATTTAACTAACTTTTTACTGTAGTTTTTAGGATATCACGGCCGGCGTCTATCGATGCTGTGTTTTCTTCCGGGCTTTTTGGCCGTGGTCCGTGGAATCTTGCTTTTCAGACGTTTCGCCGTTCTTTGCTGACGGCACCTTCAGTGGTGACTACGCGGGTGCTGAGTCGTAACTTATGTTCAGCCGTCAGCAAAGAACGGCGAAACGTCTGGAAAAGCAAGATTCCACGGACTACGGCCAAAAAGCCCGGAAGAAAACACAGCATTAACTAACTTTTTGTTTCATTTGATTTCAATCAGTTCCACTGGTGGAAATGCTGAAGCAGATTTACCCTCGGCTTGTTGAACTGCATAATTACACGCCTCGGAATTCGGTTGCGTTAAAAGTTATTAATTGGGAAACACTGAACAAGAAGGTGTTGTCGAAAATAGGAGTGAACTTGTCGAAGAAAATGATTGATCAGTTGGCGAACTCGAAGCCGGGCCTTATTGAAAAAGTGCTCAACGATATTAAACAGAAAGTCGAAGAACGCGAAAATCATAAAAAAGACGGCGGCAATTCGATAGTGGTGGAAGGATTGACTTCAGACATGTCAGGTACTTACGTCATCATCATTAGGTAGTCAGTCCTAAGACTGGTTGCACACGCACTTCCACTCTTTCCTATCCTAAGCTAATCTTCGCATTTCCCTAAAACTAGAAAACTTTTTTGGGTGTTTCATTCCCCTAGCCAGTAATGCTGGTGGGCGGGCAGTCCCTCCGGACTACGCCGGAAGGTAGGGCGGAAGGCCCTCTTCAGCCTGCTTTCAGGAATCGTGGGAATGGGTCGGTGGTGGTTCGGGTGAGAAAGATGAAACGGACGAAATGAAGACAGAAGAGAATGAAAGATTATCTGTGGAATATTACTGCCCCAGCATTTACCTATGTGATCCAAAGAAACCACAGAAAAACTTGGACCAAGGCAGACGGACCCGGAATCGAACCGGCGCCCTCTCGAATGCTAAGCAATGGTCTAAAACTCTAGGCCATGCCGCTCGGTCTAAAAAAAACTAGAGCAACCCACATCCTTCACTATTTGCGACCAGTAATCTAATCTAGGTCTACCTCTACCTCTCCTAACTTCCGTTTTTGCCTTTAATATGCTCCTGACTAGACCTTCATGCCTGAGAAGTTGTCCTACCTACCTATCTCGTCTACTTCTTATTGACTTCCATAGAGTCCTATGTTCTTCTATTCTTTCTAATAACTTAAAGCTATCTGTAACTCCTCTTTGCTAGATGCCAATACTGCTATATCGTCTGCAAGTCTAAACATACTAATCTTTTGCCCCTGTATATCTATCCCTGCAGTTGTACTGTTTTTAATGATGTTGATCGCATCTTCGATGTAAAGATTAAAAAGTAGCGGTGACAGTGTGCATCCCTGTCTGACTCCCTTCCTAATATATACGTACTGCTTATTACTCTTTATACAAACTAAGTATCACTCCTCTTCTATAACTGTAACTCATCCTTACATTTTTAAGTATATTTAACATCTTTTCCCATTTAACATTGCCAAAAGCTGTTTCTAAATCTACAAATCCTATGTACGTACTCTTTCCCTTTTCTATCGTTTTCTCTATTGTTACCCTTAAAGCTAGAATGGCCTCCCGCATTCCTCTATTTCTTCTAAACCCAAATTGATCTTCCCCTAATTGTTTTCCGCCCTTTTTTTTAATTTTTTTTAACCGTATCCGTCATTGCTCCAACACATTGGAATTTCAAGACATTCTAACTTCAAAACAAGGAGTTTCAGATATTTTAAAATCTTGATTACGAGATTATTAGACTTGTTGCTTGTTTCACTTTCTGTTCCAACATAGTTGTGCTTTCAAAAAGGCTAATGAATTATTTCATTCAAATGTCCCTTTGCATAGCTTTCTACCACGCATAAGTCATGATACAATTTAATATCTGCTTTATTTTTTATGATTTTCTCCATTATTATTTATCTGAACACATGTATGACAGTTACACATTTTCGAAATCAGAATAAAGAGGAAAATTCGACACCCGCCTGTATAGTGTATACCGACAGGATTATGAAAATTCTAGTAGCACATTTGGAATTGCCACAAATTTTAATTATATAAACCATTATTTTGAATTTTCAAAATACAATTTCTAATGATAATAAATGAGGATATCAAATTATAAAATTTAGTTTGTACATATAAGAATTCCTCATGTTATGTTAGACAGAAATATATACCAAGAGGTGAATGTATTCTGTTTGTCGTGAGGAGAACGCTCTCGTGATTAACAATTTTATTTCAGGTACAATTATGCCTGTGAAAGAAAAGAACAGCGATAAAACGATTGACCACAAGTTAATACCAGTTGATTATATTGACAAGATGGAAGCCAATTTACAAGAAAAGGACGAAGCTGTTGTTATTTTAAGGAACAAAGTAAGATAAGACATTTTTACATCAAACATATTTATAATAGACATATATAAATTACGAATTCATTAGAACATTTGTACAAATTCATTTGCTGTGTATCCAATCGAAAAAGGTCATGTTCAACTAATTGAACATTTATGTATGCAATTTTCTTATCGGACTCAATAATAATTTAAATTGATAAAACAACAAAACGATTTTGTAAACAACAGTAATATCTGGGAGTGCACATAATAGACGTGTGCAGTCATTTTTGCAACAATTGGAAATATACTTTGGCATTTATTATTATTTATATATTAGCAAGAAACTGATTAAAAAGACAATACTAAGTTATGCGTACTTCGATAATCGGAAATTTCATTGTGAACACTTCTAATATAGAGAATAGACAAAAAAAAAAACAATTTCTATGAATACAAGAAGTTAATGTCGCTCTTGGCCGAAATTCGGTCAATTGTTATTTTTGGAGTCGATGACAGTCAAGAGGGACGATTTAATCCTGTTTTTGCAACAAATTTTTGTCATTAATTGATTAATCAAGTTGGTATCTATTGTGGTTATTTTTGCTTTGGCTGGCACCGGCTCCAATTATTATTTTGCAATCTCGTATATATTTAATGGTATAGAGGTGAAAAGCAAGGGACCCAAATTGCTCTATCAGATTCGTATGATGCAAGACCATTGAAAAGTAAACGGCATTGATGTTAACGTTGTGTATTGTATTTAGAATAATTTTTAAAAATTTTGCCGTAGGAATAGTCGAAAATAAAAAAATAAAATGCATTGTCTTATTGGTAATCAAATTTCCTTATATTTCTAAATTAAATTTACCGCTTTGAAATCCCATATACTCTAAAACCGGCCGAATAGAAATGAAGAGGGGACTTTTCTCTTATATTACGCCATATTCGTCTTTTCGAAGCATTTCATCATATTCATCTTTTCGAGTTACAATGACAAGTAGGTTTTGTATATAGTATTAAAAGTTTGTAAAAATTATTAAAGTTGACGAATTATATGATTACATTTATGTTTGTTAAAAAAAAAATTTTTAAAAACCTTGTTTTTCTTGGTCAGGCCGGAAACTTATCAATCCACCCTCGTATAT